TCGAAAACATTCGTTTAAAGTTTATTAAATACAAACCTTAAAGCAAATAAACTTAAAGATGCCGACTGGCGTTTTTCATACCAATTGTTAGTCCATTTTTTATACACTGAATTGACGACAGAATATCCGTTATTTACGATCATGACAATAATTAACGGGTTTGGTTTAAACAATCAGGGGATTTTACGGTGAATTAAGTCAAAAAATTATTACGTGATCTCTCAGGTACGCACACCTCTGATTGTTTTTAAAAAGATTAAATCAAGAGTTTTTTTTTGTTTAAGAAGCAATAATTGAGTTATGTTTATTTATTATTTAGTACAAATTGTTTTATGGATTCTTAATCACATATGTAGAAGATATTGGGTGACTCCATATAATATTCATAAATTGCAAATAATCTTAATGATATAGTTAATATATACTTGATTTTAGAATTAAAAATAAACACACGCAAATATGGTCATTTACAAAATACAATCGCTGATTAATTGGTCGACCAATCTTGAAAAAAAAACCAACTTCTATGAACACCGTATGCCTAGGGTTCATTAGGAATCCTTATTTCAGAAATGTGGCTACAGAGAGCTCAAAATTGACCTTTACTTCAAAACAAAGTTCATTTGCAGACAAAGGTATTCATTAATCTTCAATGTGACAGATAAAGATAAGCTGTAATGATTTTCTGCTTTTGGAAGGTTAATTTATCCCAAAGGACAAATTCTACAGCTCTCTGAAAGTTTACAATGGTTTTATTCTAAAAGTTTTTTATGGGGTTATTTCTTCACATGTTAAAATTAACAGCATCACTCCAGCTCCAAACAAAAAAAAATAAGAAAGAAACTTAAATCAAACTTTTATGTAAATTTACTTTATAACAACCATTTACCAAATTTGAAGGTGATTGAACAGACCATAAAAAAAAGATATTAGAAATAAATAAATTTTAAAAAATTAATTAAGATTTTTACATTAATTAAAAATTATTAAAACTTCAAATCCTTGCTATGACACAAGCACTTTATAAATTTTATTTTATTCATAGTTAGTCTATGAAAATCAGCACTTGTTTATATAAACTGAAAATATTAATTCAAATTGCAGAAAATTCAGAGTAAACTATGGTTTAGCAAAACAAACACACAATATATTGTCAGTATCGTCCAGTTTGTGACAGACTATGATTAACTATGTTGAATCGTAAACATCTTAAAAATAACAACATAAGAATATGTTTACAAAAAATGTGTAACCAAAACTATATTTGTACACAACAAGATTCTGAATTGCACACACAATTTATATCTGAGAGAAATTATTTTTCAAGATATTTAATATTTCTCATTATACAAAAATTTCATATTTTTCAAAAGGACTAAGAATAAAGTTAAAACAATCAAAGTTGTGTCAATCAAATTTTAAATAACTTTAAAATAAAATTTGTTTTTTTTTTATTAGTATTGCCCTGTGTTGAATTATTTGTATATTAGTGAAATTATGCATATTAACCCCATCTGTGACGTGAAGGTGATTTAAATATTTGGCCAGTCGCTATATAAGGTGATGTCAGGTTTGTCTTGTAGCGCATGGTTTTCCTTACCAGGAAATTGTTTTGCAAAATTCCATGGAAGGTCTAGGTGCACACGTGGTAACTGAATCTCCAATCAGGGATAAAGTGTAATTTACTTACATTTGGTTTTTTAAAAAGTAATGCAGTATTATGTTAATTGAGCTTATTCTATTTTTATCCACAGAAAGTATTTTTGAAATATATACAGAAATTATGCAAAATTTTACCACGTGCACATGCCGTGAGTTTAATAAAGTAATGATAGTTTATTACTCAGACTTGGATAATTTACATTGTATTATTATTTTGCTTTATAAGCGGTGTGATACATGTTAGACTTTAAAACTGTATGTTTAAACAATATATTGTACCTGCAACATTTACATGTATATCTTTGTGCAAACTAAGTATGAAATTTCTAAAACGAGGTAAATTATTCAAGCAAGTTATTATGTCTCGTTTAAAGTCATTATTTCGTAAGAGTTCTATGGTCGATTCAATGACATTGTCAGCAAATACAACTTATCATTGAGTCAAATGCTGACTGACGTTTTTCATACCTATTGTTAGTCCATTATTTATACATTGAATTGACGACGGATTTTCCGTTATTTCACGATCATGACAATGAGCATACGGTGGGTGTGACCGGTCAGCAGGGGATGCTCACTCCTCCATGGCACCTGATCCCACCTCTGATGTTTCGGAGGTCCGTGTTTGCTCTGCTCCTATTTTGTATTGTTTTATAGACTTCGATATTGAATACTGTTCGTTATCTCCATATCCTTCATTAAATAGTAATTTAAAAAAATCTTAATGATATCTTAATACATATCTTGATTTTAGAATTCAATAAAATTATCATAAATCATTGTGTACAGTATTTTAACCAAAATAAAGTATGAATATTATTTTAAATTCATATTTCAGAGAATGTACTTAAACATCATTCAAAAAATTGACCTTTAGCTGCTTCAAAACATAAAGTTCTTTTATAATATTTGCAGACACAAGTGTGTGTGTACAGTTATTAAAATCATTTTTAAAACAATGTGAAATCAGATAAAGATAATGCTAATACCAAGAGACTTTCTTCATGTGGAAGGTTAATTAATTCATATTTCAGAGAAGGATTCAAAATTGCTTTACAACCTTGCCAGTATTATCAAATGGATAATCATTCTTCATGCAGTTAATTATCTTTCAAATTGCCCATATCATTCTAGCAGTTATCTATGCATATTCTATATGCATAGTTAAGGAATCTACCCCACCACCCCAGCTCCAAACCACAAGAAATAGAGAACCAAACTTAGCATCAAAATTTGCATTTATGCTTACTGAACTACCATACCAAATTTGAACTTGATTGGGCAACCATAAAAAAAAGTTGTTAGAAAAAAACAGAAAATTTGTGGACGGAAGAATGACAGAAGGACAGACAGAGTGATTACTATAGGGCACCCGCAAATCCTTGCGGGGCCCTAACAACGTTGATCTATATTTTACATTTGTAAACCATAGTTAATCTATGTTTCAGAACCGTAAACTATACTTAACACTGAAAACACTCATTTGCGATTGCAAAACATAGATTATCTGATAAATACAGTTTCACGATTTGTAAACTATGGTTTACAACATTTAGCTACAGTTAACGATCTGATAAATATAGTTTAACGATTTGTGAAACTATGATTAACTATAATTAATAACTCTTAACTAGAATTCACGATTGTAAATTATAGTTTACAGACGTGAATCTATGTTTATCAACAAAATCCATTGTTTACGTTTTATTACAGACAGAAAAACTTAGATGAGCATTAGTAAACTATAGTTAACATTTAAATAAAGTTTTACAGTGAGATTAAAACTATAGTTGACGAATTGTTATCTATAGTTCACGGTTTGATAACTATAGTTTACAATCGAAAAAACCTAGTTTATCAACTGTTTAACTATGTTTAGCTCATTTTTGTGAATTCGGCGTGCCATATATATGTCTACTCTTCTGTTTAAAGTTGTCAACCTCCTCGATAAATAAAGGTTAGGGAGGTCGAAAAATGTGAACTTAATGAAAATAGTTAAATACACTTTTAAAAGGCACCTCTGTATACCAGTGCAAATTGTTTTGTTTTGTTTTGTTTTTTGTTTTTTTTTTTTTGACATTAAGAAAAACATAAAAACACATATTGTATAAAAGTGTTAATATTGAGCTTACTGCAGTATCTATTTAATTTTCACCATATAGTATGTATTATTATATTGCAAAACATAGATTATCTGATAAATACAGTTTCACAATTTGTAAACTATGGTTTACAACACTTAGCTACAGTTAACGATCTGATAAATATAGTTTCACGATTTGTGAAACTATGATTAACTATAATTAATATGTATTATTATATTCAAAATTCTTCAAATGTACTGAAATAGCTGTAAGCAGTTTGAACAATCAATATGTACCTCTCTTCGGTTTTTTAAGCAGCTTAGAAATTCAAATGAATTAAAGATAAGTATAACTGAATAAACATATCTTTCATTTGTTTGCTCCCACCATGCAGTGTTTTTAAATACGTTTTACCCTTCGATAATTTTTTGCAATATTGTGTATTTCAGAGGAGGAATCTTGTCAGCGGCCTATGCCCCAAAAGGAGTAGCAGGCATAAGTACGTAAGTGAGTAGGTAAGTAAGTATTTCAAAATCGTAGGAAACATCCATTGATTCCTTTTCAAATCTTGATAATTTACCATTACAGTTAGTACAAATGTGGATTCTCCATTCACAATCATTTAGAAAATGTGCATTATACGTATATATAATATGTTTGTCATAAATTGCTTTGCCATGCATGTTCGGAATAATGTGCGATTTGCATCTTATATATACAATAATATATATATATATTTTTAATTTTCCACATTATAGTATATTATATCATTTCATTATTAGACACTTTAGTGTCCCAAAATATTACTCTATATTTTTTTGCTTTTTATTTTCAAAATCTAATACTCGTATTCTTCTATGAAATACACATACATTGTCTAGTATATAGGTACAAGGCATGGCAATCGATTAATGTTTTGTTACCGGTAATAGCTGTTTATTTTTCGGACCGAGTAACGGGTTAATTGAACACTAAAAAATTGTTAAAATACAGTTAATACACCAGTACGTGTACACTCAGATTTTATCATGTATTTTCTCAAAAAGCAATGTGTAAAAAGATTTTAAATTCTTACATGTATTATACTTTTTTGTAATTTTTAAAAAGTGCTGAAACCAGGTGAAAAATAAGTAATCTTCAACAGCACTTTTCTGTTAATTAATATTCTTCTGAAATAGATTAAATATACTCCTTACACGGTAGGTAAATTACATGTTTATAAGAGTTCAGTTTTATATACTAGTAACAAAAGCCTTAAATCAAGAGTCTCAGCATTACTGCCACGCTCAACAAATTAGACTGTACGGAATCCCATTCACTGCAGTGCTCTTCTCTCCACGTCAAATGCTTCTTATGCCAGTAAGCCAAATAGTGATTCTGATAAGCTTTGTCAAATCGGTCCAGTTTGGTTTCTAGTATTGCTATCATTGTGTAAAGCAGATACAACGCAGCATCGTGGGTCAACGTAAGAATACTCTGTAGTGCCTCTTTGTGCATTTTTACACTATACATGTCATTTATCTTAGAATAACACAAAGCCTTCAAAAAAATGGAATAGGGTTGAGGAGGAAAAGAAATAAATGCAGATGCATCTTTCATTAGAAGAATTTCAAACGCTATTTCCTTCGGATGAATTGGCATCGTCCGAAACACTTCAAAATCGTACGAAACTGCCATTGAGGCTTTTTGAATTCTTGATAAATTACCATTACAGAAATTGGCAATGTATTCCTCGCCCATTTCATTTGGATACCTCGAGCTTACATAGAGAACACCTCGATTGTCATCTATGAAAACTTCATATTGTCGGATAATTTTCAAAGCATCGCGATAGTTTCCCATACAGTAATAAGCCGTTGCTAAAGTTAGCCTTCCTCTACTTATATCTGCTGAATTTGTAAGTTTCACCAAGCCAAGTGCCCGTCTGATTTGTCCGTACCGAAAACGTGCACATCTACGAGTGTCATTCAGACCTTTATAAAGAAAGATCATAGCAATGTGTTGTAGAATTTTATACATGTAGAGGGTGACGGTATCATGCATTAAGGTATCCAGTTGCGATCCCTCTGCAAGTAAAAGGCCCACTGCATTGAAAAACTCTTTATCAAGACCTCTGAAGTTTGGGTGACCCTGAACAATGGATTCCAAATGAGAGAAGAATGCGCCATCTTCGATATCTTCCTTTGGTGTACTAGAATCATTCCGTGTTTGAAAACCCAATAGTCTGAAATCCTCGTCCGGGTCAGAGATATAAGATTCGCACGGGGCCTCTAGAATCTGTAGTCTTACTCTTTGAAGAGAGGCTTTCAAGTTGTTTAGGGATGGACAGGTCAAGAGGCACCTCCAACCCTCTCCATACAGCTCTGACAAATGAATAAAAAGGGATTCACGCTCCACTTCATCTAGCTTGCCAAGAAACATATTGTTTTCTCTTACAAAATAGTTAGGACAATATCCATTGGAAACCCAGGAAATAAGTCGTTTGAAGCACATTTCTATACAAGAAACTAAGCGTTCTTGTTTCCACCATTCTTTTGGTGTTTCTTCAATACACCAAAATAAAAGCGTTTTCATGAAATACGAACACAAAACGTTTCGGGTCTCCCGGAATGCCTCTTTGACTAAAAGTTTGAATATGCCATAAACCAAAAACTGTGTATCATTAAATGTATAAACTAATCGCTTTTCTGCGACTGAAAATGAAAATCGCCAGGACATGGAGTCAACACACCAAAGTCCTTTTCCGTCAATGAATTTACGACCAATGGGCACCACATGGCATCCTTTATTGTATATTTCCCTCACTAAGTGACGCTCTGGCCATCCATGTTGCCTTCTTCTGTGGTACCATTCCATTCCATCAGAGGGCCAGTGCGGGCAGCTTAAACAGTGTGCGTCGTCTTGCTCCGTTCCATGCTGCGCCACTGTCTTTACACAGGGCCCATGCCTTTCCTGGTTTTCTCCTACATGAGATTCTATATACACACTACTTGATATGTACAACGTTCCACATTCACGTACCACTGCCAGTCGCAAGTGTTGTTCTGCTTTGTGTGGCGTGAGCAATATTAATTTTGCATATCCCCTTTGAATATCTGCGTACTTGTCGATTTTGATGGCACAGAACTTATTGGGTATTTTTTCTGGAGTTTCTGATACCATCGCAGTTTTATCTATATACATCCTATCAACGTCTATTCCACGCATGCGGAACCCCTCGGCCCAACTCCCGGTCTTAACAACCTCCACGTTTCTTCCATAATAATGAATGTCCGACAAAATATCATCCACACGCCTATTCAACCTTTGAACTGGCAAAAAACCAACTGGGTTTAATAAACTGTCCGCCAAAAGTCGGCATAAATGGTCGTCATCTTCCCACATTGTTATCAAATAGTAATCCAGAAGATGATTTATTTTGCTGTATTATAAATGCTGTGGTTCAGAAAACCCAAATAATAATCATATAACATAAGAGGTGCTAACCTTCTACATCAAAAATTCTGATCGAAAGAGGAAGAGGAAGCTCTTGTATTATACATGTATGTCCTTGTTGTAGAAGAATATGACTATGCCCTCTTCCTGTCACTGAAATTATTTTGGCGTAAAGTCTGACGCATCTGCGGAAGAACTAATTTTATTTGTCTCTAAAATGCATGCTGTTATCCTGAACATCTTCTGTACCATTTCCAATTATTTTATGTTCTATATTAAAATTATTGGGAAAATTAAAGAAGAAACTTCACTTGTAACAGTGTACATGTATTTATTTTTTATTTTAAAAAAATTAAGTACAGATATCATTAGATGCGTTGGGAATACAGGGGTGTTTTTCGTCTTTTTCTTTCCTTCTCTCTTTTCCTTTATTAATTCTTTATTTAATCTTTCTTTATTATATCTTTTTTTAAATCTACAAGTAAGGGAGAACGAATCATCCATCATGCCGCGATGAAATTTAAATATTTAACGTATTAATCTCTCTCTCGAAAAACGTGTGTCTGCTTTTCAAGTTTTCGATTTTTTTTCACAAGATGTAGAAAGGCCCTGTGACAGAACATTATTGGGGTTAATTTCACATCTTGGTCCCTTTTCGGTAATGATAAATTTTGATGCCAAAAAGACTTGAGCAACCTACGGATTTTTTATTTTATCTTATCAAAAATTTTTACTTTCTGTATATTTTTTACATTTTTTTGTTGCTTCATATCTTTGATAGTATTTGTGTACAGAACTACCATACATATGAAATTATTCAAGTTTCATAAAAGTGAAAATGTGAATTTTTCAAAATTTCACAAATTTGAAAAAGGCCCAATTTTTGGCTATTTTCTAATAAAAAAAAATTTAGGAACAAAAAGGAACCTTTTAAATAACAAACAACTACCATCACTGAAAAGGACATTCCTAACTTAACAAAATATAAAATTTCTAGAGAGGTATTATTTCTTCCTGCAAGATAAAACGAAAAAAAAATGGTTGCTATGGAAATTTTGGATTAATTTGTAGATTCAACATTTGGCTCCTTTTTGTGCATCATAACTTTAGAAAGGTCAAAAGTAAAGCAAATCACACTACTAAACATCATAATTTTACAATATTATGATAAATATATAAGTTCATAAATTAAACAAAAATAATTTGTTACTATAGCAACCAAAAAGTCAGGAAAAAAATAATTGTGAACGTTGTCATTATGCAGAATCTTAAAAAACTCAGTGCATGACGCATTAATTTCTTCAATTTTAAATAGATAACTTTTATATTTGTTATTTCACTTATATACATTTCAAAGAAAAATAAATAAAAATTCAAACGTCTAAAAACGTTGCTATGGCAAATAGTTTTTGAACAATTCCTTATATTGGTTGCTATCATAGATTTTGTTATACTGACAAGTATACAACAAATAATATTATAGCTTCATTCATTATTTTTTTTCTCAGTAAAATAAACTGAATTTAATTGTATTTCACTAAATATCAAAATAGTAATTCATAATTTATTTTTAAAAATGGTTGCTAAGGCAGCCAATAGTTCAGGAAAATCCTTTTCATTGATATGTTTTATATACAAAATCTACTGCTTTATTGCACGATTATGTGTCTTCTTCAATGAAATGAATTCCATAAACCTTGTCATTTTACTAACATGAAAATAGACTAGAAATTCATAATTTAAAAAAACAAACAGTTGCTATTGAACCAGATAATTCAGGAATGATCCACTGGATTATCAAAAGTATTGATGTACCAGTTACAAACTCATAGCAATGCCACCAATGTGTGTTTTACTTCTAATTAATTTATTTACCGGGACAAAAATAGATGAACTTTCAAACTTAAACTGACATAATTATATCTGTTTTACTGCAGCAGGATTTGTTTCCATGGAAACAATAAATACCTACTTAAAATCATGAAATCTTTTGGAACACACTTGCTTTATTAATTGAAACATATATAACAGTCCCTACCCCGGGGGTCATGATTTTGAACAATTTGGCAATCTTTCACTACCCCAGGATGCCTAAACCCATTTTTTCATAAATAAGTTTCATCTTTTCTAGCCCAGTGGTTCTTGAGAAGAAGATTTTCAAAGATTTTTCCTATATATTTCAATGTAAAACTTTGATTCCCTATCATCAAAATGGCCTTTGCCCTACAAATCTATATTTTCATGATTTTAACAATTGGCACAGAATACACTACCCCAGATTGAGGCAAGATGTTTTTCAACATAACAACACATGAGAATTTTGCATAATTATGTAACTCCAATTAAACAATTTTCTAGCCCAGTAAACAGTTTACCTTCAGTTTGAATGAAGAAGTTTTTTTTGTTTTCTGTCCAATCACATTATTATTTTTCTTAATATAAAGAGCTTTGAACAGTCTCCCCTTGTCAAAATTAACACTAAATTGATCAGGTTAAATTCCAAGTGATTTCACCCAATTGTGTCATGTACCTCTTTAAAAAATGAAATGAGAAACATGAGTTGTCAGAAGAAGCCAAAATGGCCAACATAAAGTTAATTACGATCAGTTCTTTGAAGATAGTGAAAATTTTTTAACAAGATAATTGGATTTGCTGTAAAATATGGGACTCTTCATAACTAAAAGGTGAAAAGTATAATGCTATTGCATAATTTCAGCTCAAATTGATGAGGTTTTTTTGAACCTTCTAATATTTAAAACTAATTTTCCTTTAGTTTCATATTAACTGTTTATGATATTGCTTTCTGATGACAGTATTTTGGATTCCCACCATTTGGCCCCCATAAAAATTGTCCATTGTGGAAAAGAATTAAACAAATAAGGAAGTTCAAAGGCCAAGGGCTTTGCCATAATTGACATGTATATTGAACTATGATGTTTGGCATACAATCTTCTAGACAGTGATTCCTTAAACAACAGATTTATTTCTTTATGAAAACAAGATTTTCTATTAAATGAAAAAAATACGTTTGAGGCAGTAATATTTAATTTTAAATTATATATGTTTATTTTTAATGTCATCAACATTACAAAACAAATCATGTAACCATTTACCTTTACTCTTCTTTTTTATTTTTTATAGTCTCTATGCATTTGAGGTAACAATGATAACTTTATAGCATATATTCATCAATGTGTTTGTAAAAGATTCCTTAACACGGGCAAGCTGAATAGTTAGTTTAGTATTTGTACCTTGTGTTTGAGAAAAAAAAGATGTTTTTTTTTCTTAAAGTATTTTGTACTTAACATTCCTAAACAGGGGCATAGTCTGAATTATCCATTTGACCTGTATGAGATTCCAGTATCTTTCAGATATTTGACCCCAGGGTAAAAATTTTACCTTTTTTGTTCCTAAACAAGATAATTCCTTGACTAATATTAAACTTGAGGTAACAAGAGCTTAGATAGCTGAGAGTACATTGTACCTTGTGTTTGAGATTCCTAAATAGGGGCTTGAGATAGCTGACAGTATATTGCACCTTGTGTTTGAGATTCCTAAACAGGGGCTTGAGATAGCTGACAGTATATTGTACTTGTTTTGATTTGAGATTCCTAAACAGGGGCTTTCTGTCCTCTCATTTAATGTCTAGTGACATTTTATGTTGTACCTTGTAATTATGAGTCTCATTTTAAAGTTTCTAATAAACAGGGGCTTGATGATAATTGACAGTATATTGTACCTTGTGTTTGACATAGTCAAGGATAATATTGAGATTGGCAAACAATCATGATGGTTTTAATTTGTACCTTGTGTTTGCAAAATTTAACAAACATGAATGGGCTTAAAAACATATAAATGCTGACTGTATTTGAATTAACCTTGTGTTTGAAATTAAAACTAAACAGCTTGAGATATCATGAAATTTTTAAACCTTGTGTTTGTAGATTCCTAAACAGGGGCTTGAGATAGCTGACTGATATTGTACCTTTGTGTTTGAGATTCCTAAACAAAGGTTACAGCTTTTATTGAGATAGCAGACACATGAATTTAACAGTAAATTGTACCTTGTGTTTGAGATTCCTATAACAGAACAGCTTGAGAACTGACTGGTATATTGTACCTTGTGTTTAAAAGATTCATATATAAACAGGTGCTTGAGATATTGTCTTGACATAGAAATATCAAGGTGATTGTACCTTGTTTTTTTAGATTCCTAAACAGGGGCTTGGATAGTTTTTTGATTGTATATTGTCCCTTGTGTTCCATAGATTCAAATAAACAGGGGCTTGAGATTGACAGTATGTTGTACCTTGTGTTTGAGATTCCTAAACAGGGGCTTGAGATAGCTGACTGTATATTGTACCTTGTGTTTGAGATTCATAAACAGGGGCTTGAGATAGCTGACTGTATATTGTACCTTGTGTTTGAGATTCATAAACAGGGGCTTGAGATAGCTGACAGTATGTTGTACCTTGTGTTTGAGATTCCTAAACAGGGGCTTGAGATAGCTGACTGTATATTGTACCTTGTGTTTGAGATTCCTAAACAGGGGCTTGAGATAGCTGACAGTATATTGTACCTTGTGTTTGAGATTCCTTAACAGGGGCTTGAGATAGCTGACAGTCTGTGTGTGAATGACACTTGCTTCCTTTCCCTTTAATGTCCTTTTCTCTTCCTCTGTCCTCTCATTTAATGTCTGTCTCCACATTTTCAATAGGTACTGTGACAGAAAATATGATCTTAATCTCATTTTAAAGTTTCCAATATATTCTCAAAGTTAGGATAAGATGATTAATTGACATTTATATCATTAGCTACCATGTAGTTTAACATAGTCAAGGATAATATTGTAGATTGGCAAACAATCATGATGGTTTTAATTTCCCTACATTTCTCGATTTATCATTTTTCCAATAAAAAAATTTAACACATCATGAATGCTATTATAAGTGTTTAAAAACACATAAATGCTAATACGAAATTTGAATTAATTTCTTGCAGCGTGAAATTAAAACCATCATAAAGGTTGCTTCTTAAGATATCATGAAATTTTAAAACCATGGAATTAAAACGACTTACAGTATGTTATTCTGTATTTTGCATTGTTTTCTTTCTTTACCTACCTTCAGAAATCTCAGAATTGATCAATCGAACGACCATAGTTTCATATTCTCTTTCATTAGAAATCACCTTTTCCTATTTCATTCTAATCCTTTTCGAAACGCATTTCTTCTTTACAATTTTCTATTCATAAAAAAAATGTTACAGCTTATATTTAGATATACAAAGTACAGAAACATGCATTTTAACTAATTACTTCAATAAAACTAACTTTCTGTAAAAATTTTGGCTTATGTCCAAGAACAGTATGTCTAAACAAGCCTGACTATTTTCTTTTCAAAGCTTTTCCATTAAAAAATTCATATACTGTCTGTATACAGGGTTATTTTCGCCCCATCTTATTTTCGCCCTTTCACTCTTGCAAACAATTTAACCCCGTTTTAAATTCACCCAGTCACAGTTTTTTTTAAGAAATTATACTGTATTTTTAAGCATGTGAATTGTAATTTTAAAATATTCCTAAATATTTCAGGGCGAAAGGAATTAGCTGAATAAAAAAAAAACTTTATTGCGAAAATTTTGTATACAGTATATTTTTAATCACATGAGTTCGAGAATCACATGTTTGATCATTATCTTAAAAACATATAGATATATCAAGGTATTTGTTAACCCCATTTCCACTTTTTCTTCAAGTATTTTATCTGTCCATACCTTGAGTTATTTTTTTTAAATTTTTATTCCTTTTAGTTCCAAAAAATAAAGTTTAATTGTATTAATTAAGTTGGAAACGGATACCTTCTACATGATTCTGTTGGTAAAATATATTATTATTCTTTTTTTTTTTTACTACTCATTTTAGAATACTGACAAATTTAAGCCTGTATATCTGATAAATACCCATTTCGACAATAGATTTCTTGCAAACAAATTTTCAGATGTTCTTTAGAATTTCAAAAACTCTATTAGAATGTTGTATTATTCAATATTTCAAAAATTCACAGTTTCCGGTTTTACTATATTCAAATTTCAACCTTTAAACGAAAATTTATATGGGCTTTATTTAAAGCTGATAAAGGCTACATGTAGACCACAAAGGCTTTTTAATAGAAATTTTACTAATTTTAGTATGTGAAATAATAAAAAAAGGATTGAAGTTGTGCACATCGGTTTTTTTTGTTTTTCGATTTCTTTATTCAAAATGGCGCTACAGAATTAGGGGTAAAAAATTATTTTCCTAAAAGAGCGAAAATTTACACATATTTTCAAAGAAATTTTTTAAAAAAAAGTTTAAAAATATTTTATATATAGATACATAAATTTGTGCAGAATTACAAGATCTTTAATCAAATTATATCTTTCAAAAAGAGAAAAAAACCCCTCAAGCTGGGTCTAAAGGTGCCAAAATTTTTTCAGTCAATATATATCAAAAATGTATTAAGAACAGTTTGTCCTAAACAAGCCAAAGTTGAAGCAAAGTCTTGTTCAAAAATCTTTAGTAAAAAATTGATATATAAAACGTCCTGTGACGTTCACTTCCGGCCAACCCTCACATTTACATCCCAGAAAATGAACATTTATTTTTGCCAAAGTTCTTGACACGTTTTTGGGAAATATTTGTCACTGGAAGTAAAAACAATATATTTTCCGTCCGTCGATCATTGTCACTTAACCATTTAGAATATAGGAAGTACAGTTTTTTGGCATCATTTATCAAAAATTGCTTACTTTTGCAAGTTCAACATAGATTTGGAAGATTTAAATCATTAGAGACGTCATTTTTCTTTTTATTTTAAATAAAAGTTACATTCCGGTCAAACATAGCAAAATACAAGTTCCATCGTTATTGCAAAAGTTTAAATTTTTTATTAGTTTTGTTAAAATTTGTGAGTTTCGCATTTAATACACATTTTTACCGAATTAAATAAAAGAGGACTGAATAAAGTGTACCTGAATGTCCTCCACTGTGGTATCCGTCATCTTTGATTGAGACATCATTTGACTTTTTGCCACCTTTGCCTGACGTGGCAGCTTCTACCATTTCTTTGAAATAGTCTTCGTCCACGTTGTCCATAGCTGCTTTGAACTCATTCCTGAAACCCTCCTGTTAACAGAAAATGCCAAACATTGGTAATATACAAGCATAGATCTATGCCTTTCCCCAAATACATTTTAGTTTAACCAACAAATCCTTCAGAATCAATTTTTATGTGTAAAATATATTTTATTTGTATCTACCTGTATCCTAGCAATATTGGGTACATGTAATTATTGTGACTCACCTTTGTGATAGATGCTGATTACAGAAAACATGGGGGAAAACATCTTTGTTTGAAAGCACAAATCATTTATATCTGTAAATTGTGTATTGAAACTATTGCAGTATTATCTAAAAAGAAAGCTTGAACAAATCTTAACTAAAACAATGGTTTTCTTTTGAAACAAATGACATACCTCTCTGGCATCAGGGCCGTCAGTTTCTAGTCTTTTTAGTCGAAGATAAGCTTCATAATCACTCTCCCCAGAGAGTCGGATAGGCTCATGTCTCTCTCTAAGTCTTCTTATTACCTGTCATTATAAAGGGACTGTCACTCTATCAGCATTCAAAATCATGATCAATATCTTTGCCATTTACTTTTTTGACAGCTTCTTCCAAAGAAATTTTTAGTGCATTTCAAAAGTTTGACCAAATTTTCCTTTAAATTATGTATTTACGTTTTTTTTTTCCATTATTATTTCAAATTGTTTGAAATAAAATTTAGAGGAAAAAATTAAGAATAAAGAATAAATATTAAGAATAAATATTAAGAATAAATACAACTTGACCATTCCATTTCTACATGTGACAGGATATCATTTTTATTTATGAATAGAAAAGAATAAGTTTTTTTTTCTAATTGGCAATTACAAATTAAGCACTTTAATAAAGAATTCAAATTTTTCATGCTAAATAAATCAATAAAATGAGTACTGTAATACTGTCCTACTAAAATTCAACAATTCCCATCACAGTTCAGGCATTGTCTGTCAGTTCAACAAATAACTATTAACTGATGGATATTGTGGAATCCTTTTTGTGGGACATGAATATTCATGGATTTTGTGGCCACAGTGGGTTGCCCTATGGCCTTACCCTCAGATTCATCCCAATGAGCATTTATTTTCTTTCGTATTGAATATTCAGTCTTTGGAATATATGTGCTATTCACAAAATCATGTCCAAACTAACCAATGTATTTTTGTTTGCCAATGAAAATAGAACCTCAATAAATTAATATCTGTACCATGTGTAAAAAATGGGGCTTGTTTAAAAAGAAAGCTTCTAAAACACGTTTACAATGTTTAATAAAATTACAATGATTCAAACGTATATAGTTTTTTGGCATCAATCATTTTGACAATAAAGACCTAAATTTTTTCTTGCCAGTTGAGGGAACTTTTCTTCAGACTGTCCTACAAAATCTTCTTGTGAATCTTTCTCCTGATATTCAATTTAATAGCATGATTAGAAAGTAATTAGAACATTCAGTCATGTTAGTAGTAGATGTACCTTAGTAAAATACATGTACTAGAATACTTGTGACTTTTTTCTCAGACCTGTTTACCCATTTCATTGTCTCTCAGTATTTTTGATTAGAATTGTCCATGAGATTTTGCTTTTGCCAGTAAGATTTCAGTTTCCGTCGATATTTAACGTATATAAAGGAGAACAACTGCTTTTCTGATTACAAAAACATGGTTTAACAAATGGGCTTTGTCATTTTATAAAACCACAGCATTTTGGCAACCTGACATCATTAATGTGTTTGAAATCTTTCTCTTTTTTAGCGTTTAAAAGCTTGAAACTAAGACAGATCATAACAAAAACTAACTGGTAAATTCCAAACGAGCGTATTTCCGATTTCCGTATTTTCGTAATAGCAAAATGTGATTTGGGGATTTATAAAGAGACAAAGTTTTACACAAATTCTAGTTATTTTCATATGTAAGTTTAGGTAAAAATTTATTTATGCGGAAATAAATTTTCTGTGAATAAACATGATAAAAATGTTAAATTTTACAGTAAGAATTCAAGCACGTTCTCTCAAATCATTTTGTGAGGCACACTTGGTCGGAGATTTGGAAGATTTCTGAAATCACGAGATAAACTGACTGAAAGTGGTAGATTAACCTGACAGACCATTACAAGGACTTTAATCTAGCTGGCTGGTTAATATTGCAAGTGATCAGATGTATGGTAAGCATGATAAAGGCAAAATGACAACCTTTTCTGGAGATTCCTGTTTTTTGTCATTGCCTCTTTTTTTGTCTTTTCCAATATTCTTCCTTTACTGCTAAATCTCCTCGTTTGAAATACTTTTTATTTGGTGTCTGAAATCATAAAAAAGTTTTACATGAAACAAAAAATATTTCAGATCTTCAACGTGTAGTTTAATGCAATCGAAAGAAAAATGTAAAAGCTTACAAGTATGTCTTTCGATTCTACTTTTTGTCTTTTTCTGTTAATTTCTGCTTGTAGCAATGCTTTAAAATCCATATCTTTTTGCTACTGTATGCAATGTTTACAAATTGGTAGTTGCTCATTAGCTCTTCTGTTCACGAAGGCGAAAATGGACACTTCTAAGAATGTGGTTAAGAATTACATGTAGATTGATTGAAATCGTCAAGTAGTAAAATCTTATTTAATCAAAGTTCTTGTACTGAAAATAATTCGGAACACAAACTTGGACGGTGCCCGGATAATGGAAGAAAAATGCTTATCATCACATTATTGTTGTCGTTTTTATTTGACATCGCCAGTATTCGGCCTGATGAAGGTTACAACATACAATTTATGGAACATAATGTTTAACTGGAATCTCAGAAAATATCGAATAGCAAGAATGGTGTGTTTTATCAAGACCTGATATTTATTTTATAGTCTGCATATCTGCAGGGATCCATAAGATCCTAGCTGCAGAAAAATAGCTCTCCAAAAATATATATATTGACAGATCGGCCCCTCAGTATATTATTTTTCGGAGTGCTACAGTTCTGCAGCTAATGAGATCCCTGATATCAATCCAAAATTGTTATTTAGAGTGTTCATTGGCAGAATGATATGACATGTACATGATGAAGCTGGTTATAATCATTATATTCATTATAATAACATGAATAATGTGATCAAATGTTTTATTAAAATGCCCTTTGGATTTTATCACACGCATAGCATGCATAGTGCACAGTTACTAAAACAATGGAAATATTTATGTTTCAAAAGTGCAATATTAGAACTATCTTTGATTTAGATTTGCATTAATAAGCTTAGCAAAGCAATATATCTATTTCAAGCTATATAGCTAAATCAAGAGATTGTGCTAGACCTGAATAAGGAATTCTGTCTGGCTGCAGAAAAGGCAACCGTTGTTCTGTAAACATGCATGTCTTTTTAGATAAGGGAAGAACAGTCTGATGTCATTGGTTTTCAAGAGGTGAGATTTGATGCTGAAACAGGAAGGAACCAGGTGTCTGATCTTCAGAAACTGCTTCCTGAATACCAGTGGTCATTTATAAGTAAAGCAAATGATGTATCAAGGAAGGATAACTTGATTCATAGAGGATGGAAGGGAGAAGGTATCCAACATTCTGTGAAAGGTTAATTCTTAATGTAGAATGACATAATATGAGTGCATGATTAATTTTTCAGTCTGACATACAGTAAGCCTCATTAACTAAAGAGATAAGAAAACTCTTCATGTTGAATGATTTTTACATCAACATAATTATCCTTATATTGTGGGCATAAACACTGTAGTAATAAAGTAAATTTTACATCCATGGTAAAAACTCCTTAATGAATTTAAAATATTTATGATGTTCTTTTTTATTATCATATTTTGATACAGTGAACATTATTGCTGTAATTTTCATATTTTGATACAGTGAACATAATCATGATAATATTGCTAATGCTGTAATTTTTTGTCAAGAATAAACACAAAGTCATCCCTTGTTTGTGATGTTTTAGGTATTGGAATTTTGAGCAGATATCCTATTGTGTCTGCAAATAGAAAGGTTGTTCCATATCAGCAGGGACCAGACACAAATAAAAGAGTTATTATTCATGCTAAAGTCAGAACAGATCACTCGGGAATTCTAAATGTGTTTGTTGTTCATTTTTCTTATGTGAGACAGCAACAGCGTGAAAATGCAGATGCCCTTTCATTTACTCAGAGGTATGATTTTTATACCCCCGTAAACGAAGTTTAGGGGGGTATATTGGAATCAGCATGTCTGTCTGTCTGTCCGTTTGTCCGTCCGTCTGTAGACAAGACTTTGTCTCAGAAACTATTGGATGGATTTGTCTGAAAATTTGTACGCTTATTATTAACCATATGAAAGTGTGCACCTGGTATTTTCAGGACGATTGGATGATTTTTATGCATTTTACAGGCGTTTTTTCTTTTTCGTTTTGTGGTTTTGTTTGGCTCATAACTAGAAAACTGTTAGACTTACAAGCATCAAACTTGGCCAATTTATGCATCTTGGGTAGAAGGTATATCACAGCCTATTTCAAGGCCACTGTGACCTTTAATTTAAGTTAATTTTTAAAAAAAAAATTCTTTTACTATTGAATTACACAAATCCCCAAAATTGTAAGAGTGCTGCTATATCCCTATTTAAAAAAGGCTAAATTAAGAAAAAAAATTTTTCATTATACACTTACAGCAATCCATAACAAATGTTATTTATAAGAGATAATCTACCTGTCCCAACCACTGGTCAAGGAGAATTTCGTAACAGAAAATTGCATGTCAAATCATGTCAAATTAGAGAGAAATTAATTAGTTTGGTGTAAGGAACTAACTGGTAGAATATCTCTGTTTATATCTCTTGGGACCTGGGTGAAGGAATCAGCCTTAAGCTTAAATAGTTTTAGTGACAAGCCTTACTTATTGAATGACTTTGAGAAAAAGCAATTTAAACTAATAAGATATTGTATAATAAACTTACTTGATATTGTATAATCTTATAATTAAAACTAACCATGCTGTGTGTGTGTGTGTTGGGGGGAGGGGGAGGTATTGGAATCGGCATGCCCATTTTTTTTTTTTTGTATAAATCTTTGTAACAAATTTATTATACAAAAGCTTTGCTTTCTGATTTAATTTCAGAATGACACAATTATGCATTTTGATTGCACTACAAAGGAGATAGTTAAGATCCATTCATCCCTTGACATTAATTAGTGGACATCCATCCAGTCAAAGATTAATTAATGAGTTCAATGTAAAATGATTTTGTATTTGTATTTTATTTCAACCGGAGACATTACATCTCATAGGTATACAATATTCATACATAAGATTTGTACAGGCTATACAATATACATGTGTTAATTACATAACAATATCATTTAATTATTTAGAACATCATTTCTTAATTGATGAGAAAAGTACAAAAATTTGCCCAGGTTACATAGTTCTTTAGTATTTGTAGAACTCAGTAGCTGTACTAATTTAAATACTGATGGTTTTTTAGAATAATAACTCTTAATATATTTAATTCTAAGTTCTTCACATCAAGGACATTTTAATACAAAATGAAATTCGTCCTCTATCTCACCTGACATACATATTTCACATTTTCTATCTTTTCTTTCTATATTACTATACCTTCCCCTTTCTATTCTTAAATCATGAGCTGATAGCCTTAAACGACTGATAGGTATTCTATACTTATAATGCAATGGTTTTCTTAAATAAATTACAAATTCTTGCCATAATTTCTTGTTTATAACAGTCATACATTCTTTGAAATATAATGTTCAGAGTATTATTATTAATACAATCACTATTATACATGTCAGCTAAATCAAGTCTTTGTAATTCCTTCTTAATGTTTACAATCCATTCATCATTATTTTCAACCATATCTTTATAACATACTTGTAATCTACAATTATCACTGTCTTTTAATTTCACCCAGTATTTCAAAATTTTCTTTTTCCTTTCAAGTATAAGTGGAAATCTACCTGTTTCACAATAAACTGCATCATTACTAGTGCTTTGTCTGACCTTTAAGACTCTTTTACAATAATTTAAGTGAACATTTTCTATGTCTTGACCCTTGTGAAATCCCCATACTTCAGCACCATAACTCATAACACTGTTAGCATACGTATCGAATACAGCTAATTGTGTTTCTACGTTATAATGCAAATCCCTGATTTTACTATTTACACCGTACATAGCTTTATTACCTTGACATGAAAAATGTTTCTGTGTTTCAGTAAATTTTCAATTATAATTAAACAACATACCTAGATAATTAAACCGATTAACAACTTCAACATTGCAACCGTTGTATATCCAACGTTCATTTTCAAGTATTTTACGACTATTGCGAAAAATTTATATTTTTGTTTTTTCAACATTAACAGTTAGATTCCACTCCGTTGTGTATGTATATAATGCATCCAACATTCTTTGTAAACACTCAGCTGAGTCAGATATCAAAACAGTATCATCTGCATACATCAGTAAAAATATATTTATCATCTGCGGTTCGATTGATGGACAATTATTTGTAATAAAGTGACGTTCAAAGTCATTCAAATACATAGAAAATAATAATGGTGATAAAATTTCACCTTGTAGAACACCAGACGTAATTTTGAAATACTCTGTAAGTAGACCATTATATTTTACACATGCCTTGATATTATCATATAAAGACTTGATAATACAAAATAATTTCCCTTGAATACCCTGAGTACTAATTTTAAGCCACAAGTTAATTCTATTGATATAATCGAAGGCTTCTTGATAATCTACAAAACAATAAAGTTTCCTTTTGTTCCTTAAGAATTTGTTAACTTATGTCTGTAGAACAAATATCGCATCAATGGTTCTTGCACCTGTCTTGAATCCAAATTGCGCGTCTGTAATTATGTTATATTCTTTATCCCAATGCATCAGTCTATTATTTAATATGCTTGTAAATAATTTAGCCATGCAACTAACAAGTGTGATTCCCCTATAATTATTAGGATTATTACTATCCCCTTTCTTAAAAACTGGCACTATACACCCAGTAGCCCAGCTCTCTGGATAATGACCTGACGTAAAGATTTTATTAAACAACATGCATAAAATAGGCATGAGTATTTGTTTACAATGAATGAAGAATTTGTTAATCATGCAATCTTCTGCATTACTTTTATCATGTTTTAATTTATCAATACCATATTCAATTTCTTGTTCCGTAATTTCCTGATCTAATTCACAGTATACTGATGATCGTGTCTCTACGTAGTTAAATTCATTATTCCTATTGTTTTCTGTATTACATTCAAGCAAGGTTTTGAAATGTTCTAAGAAATTGTTAGCCGATAAATCTGAACTTTTTTGCCCTTTCTTACGTTCAAACAATTTGTAAAACTTTTAGGGTTATACATCCGAATATACTCGATTTTATTACCTTGATGTCTCTCGTAATTGTGTCTACATTTTTTCATAACTTTCTTGTAGGCCGCTTTTTTATTAACTAATAATAATCTATTATCAGTAGATTTCTGTTTATTGAAATGGTTTAGAGCTGTCTCATATTCTATGTACTTTGTCTTACACTCTTCATTAAACCATGGTTTATCTTCAGTATGTTTTGAATTAATATTTCTATTCATATTAATATATAGAGCTATTATTCTGTATAATTTTACAGTATGGCAGAATTAATTCACATTATGTTTTACAAAAATTTTCAACACACTGATTTACTTCTGTACTATCAAACGAATGAATCAGACAATCAGAAAGCAAGTCATAGTTATTGCCGAGAGTAGTATTTATCTGCGTTACATTTTCTTCAACCAATTTTACTGATTTAAAAACCGTTCTATCTGATTGCTCTTGACCACAAACAACCTCACTTTCTTTAAATGCACCACCTATAGAAAAAAATAATTGGTGCGTGGTCTGAAAAAACAGAAAAATCTCCTAAAGTAAAATCTACAATGTTACTAGCGTTTTCATTCTTTGTTATTAGATAATCAATAGTACTCATACCATTTGCACCATAAAAACTGATACCCCCATGTTGATCATTTTTGTGTCTTCCATTGATCATTCGATAATAAAAATTATTTTTACAATAGCTCCAAAACTATTTGTGGTATAAAGTCAAAACGTTTAGAGTTTATAAATATATCATTGATTGGCAAATATAAATATATCATTGATTGGCAAATAGCATGTCAACATAAGTATTTATTCCTATAAAGTTTCACTCCTAGAAAAAACTAAGCTAGGGCTTTACTAAAATTTAAAAAAAAATTAAAATAAAAAAAAACATCCATATCATCTGCTTTGAATGAAGAATTAAGACTTTTAAAGAAAGAAGAGACGCACACTTTAAGCCGATTTGTAGTTGACGAGTGTCCATAATCAGGTACACAAACATCGAAAAGTGACGTTCATCATGTGTGGTACACGTGTATGGGCGGTGGAAAGGGAAAAATGACGTTTATGCAAATAACAACTAATTTTATAAACATAATGAAATACAAAACAGACTCGTTTGCAAAATCAACAGACTCCGATGCAGAACCAACGATCACCAATGCGAAACCAACGATTATTCACTGAATTGACGCTAGATGGCGTGCAAAAACATACATTAACTGAATTAACGCTAGATGGCGCGCAAGTTTTCTATGTCATCATTATATGTCTACTTTCATTGGAACGTAAATCCCGCAAAATTATCTATCAGGATCCACTTGGCAAACCTGGGGATGTATTAAAGAATATATTATTGGTATCGAAATCATATATATCGAAATATACATGATATATAAAATATACCGTATATAGTAATACCCATTTTTTCTATTAGATTGACCCTGTGCTTATATTTCAGTGAATCTCTTAAGTCATTCAAAGTAGAAAGAAAAGAAATTAAGGCAAGATGTATTGTATACCCATATCCTGTTTTGCTTTAAAGTAAGGTGAAGGAATGTAGGACAGCGATTACTCCAGATTTGGGAGATACTTTTCGGAGAAATTAGGAAAATCAGTAGGCGGCTTGGGGCACAAGGTCTACTGCACATGCCTTGGCAAAGATGCCACCACTACTGGTACAGGAGTGCAATTAAGTCTCATCCTTGTAGCCCTACAGTGTTTCAACTATACTAAAAGGAATTAGAAACGCATAGTAATTTGAATTAAATTTAAACTATTTTTTTCGAATAGGTTTTCCAGAGTTATCATCAAAAGGTAGGATCCTTCTCACACAAAACTGTATTTCTTGTATTTAAAAATTAATGACATTTTCACAGAATCAAGAAGACAATATTATTAAGTGATGGTATCAGATAGATTAGTTTTGACCGTTTTATATTAGAGTCAAGGTCATTACCTTTTCCCTGATCA